AAAATTATTTTTATGAATAATATAGGATTGATTTTGTCAATTTTTGATAAGTATATAATTTACATAAATTAACACAAAATATTTATATTTAATTAATTATAAAAATGTACAAGATAATTCAAGATATCATGATATTTTTCCTAAACTTCTTTGATCACAGGAAACCTATTAAAATTATTCCCATAAAAATCCAATTGATATTTTGATTTATATAATTAAAATAAACCAAAATGGTCACCCTAGATTGAAAATTAGGGCTAGATTGAAAATTAGCCCTAGATTGAAAATTAGGGTTAGAAGCATAGAGATGCCCTCTGATCTTGAAAAAATTAAAGAACATCCCCTCTGTGATGATGAAAAAACCTTAAAAATTTCAATCTATAATGAACCATATTTAGTCACGGAGAGTTAAAATACCACAGGGGGTATTTAATTAAATAAAAATTATATAGTAGACAAATATTTTTTTTTTGCTAACATTATCTCTTATGTTCATTGAGCAAGAGAGTATTTTTATTTTATTTTTATCATTTTTCTATGCAAAGTTATGAATTTTCAAAGATATGTTATTTATTTAACAAAGATATATGAATTTTCAAAGATATGTTATTTATTTAAATCAAGAAAATCCTAATTTCTATTCATCCCAGTCACGCGTTGCGTCATCCTCGTCCTCCCTGAAATGCCACGCGTTGCCTCTTGGTTTGGCGCCACCATGTAACTCGACAGCCACGTGTCCCGTTGTTCATGCACGGAGACTGCGTCTAGCTCGATCTCGTCTATCCGTTTAATACACGCTCGATCAGATGACTCTTCGTTATCATCCCCGATAGCCAGATCCCGTGCCCCATCCAGCTTCTAGACCTAATATCTCAGTTGATACTCAACTAATTTACATGGGGTTTGTTCCTACACCTTCACCTACTCGAGGAGAACACATCCATACGGTTATAATGTTATGAAATCAAACTTCACTTCACATTTGATGAAAACTGAGCTCAAGATTAGGGTTAATGGCCAATACCTTTATCTGAGAGGGGAGGCCTCAATCAGATGCTTGTGGAAGCTTCAGTGGAGTCCAATGAACCTCCTGGATGTGTTGATTTCCTCTGGTGTAAGCTCCAAGTAAAAGTTCAATGAAAAGGGGTGCGACCTTGGTCTAGGAGTGGCTTGGAGAGCTCAAAAGAGGGGAACTTTGATGGGGATCTTCCTCTCTTGCTCTGAGGAAGCTCAAGAGCAATTCAGTTTGGAGTTTGGGGGAGTTTTGAGGATGGTCGAAATTTGTCCTGATTTTGAGCTCAAAAATTGAGCTCAGGTGATGGGGAAAATGACCCATGGATGGTTGCAATGAGCTTAGGGAGACATGGAGGAGCTCTGGGAGCAATTTGACAGAGTTTCCCTAAGGAAATTTGATTGCCCCCCTCTTTGGCCATGGAGGATGGGTTCAAATAGTCTGGCTTAGGGTGGTTGTCAGGGCTTCAAATTGGGTGCAATGTGGAGCTGAGGTGGAGAGCTTCAAAGTGCTAAGGGCCAATTAGAGTTGGGCAGCTTGGATGGGTTCTTTGGGTGGCTCTTGGTTTTAGGGTTTTCCGGCCACTAGGCCGGCCGACAAAGCTAGGGTAGTGACCATAGGAGTCAGGTAAGCCAAGGGGAAGTTTATTATGGTTAACCCTCAATGACAAATGATGATGGAGGAGATTTATTGGTTAAGGCCCAAAAATGGGATAAGATCCCTTAAATTAGGGGACCCTTGGTCCATAGCTCACTTGGGTGGTTTCAGGGGGTTTATCCTGGTCAAAAGGGCGTGCTTAGTGGCTGTAGAGACCTTAATTTGGTGACTTTAGCATGACTAAGTCAATTTTGGGGAAGGGGTTCAATTTGGGTCAAAATGGCTAGAAGTTAGGTTTGGGTTAGGCTAGACATGACATTGAGCTCAACTGATTGATCAATAATGTGTATATGATTGTCACAAGAGGTTTGGAGTGATTTTGAATTGGGTTAGAGGTTCAATTTGGAGGATTTTGGGCATTTGGTCAATTTGGGGGGTGTTGGATTAGACTTGGGTTAGGTTGAGCTGAGGTTGGGCTAAGCCAAAATTCATGGTTGAAAATGGTCTATAGGAATATCATGAAGAATTCTCAACATTAATTGGGTGTCAATTTCAATTAGGTGACATTTGGAGACATAGCCAATTTGGGGCAAATTTGGGGATTTTGAACTTGGGTTAAAATTGAGTGAAATTGAGGCTTGGCTAAGGCCAATTAAAGGTCCAATTTGGTGTGTAGAATTGTTATGAAAAGTTTAGGAATTAAATTGGGGCAAATTGAGTAGGTTATGGGGTTCAATTTGGTGGGGTTAAGTCATATGGTCAAAATTGGGGGTTTGACTTGGATCAAAATTGAGCTCAAAACATGGGTCAATAAGGCTTGGATTTGGTTTGCATTGATCATATTAATGATGAATTTGAGTTTAAAATTTAAATTGGGGAGGATTTGGGCCAAATTGATGGACATTTGAGGAGAATTTGGGGAAATTGGGCCTTTAAAGGCAATTTGGGGGTTTTGGTCAAAATGGTCAAATTGGGTTCAATTGAAGGGTCCAAATTGGTTTTGGAGACATTTGCAGTGATTTTGGATGGTTTGGGAACGTTTGGGCCACCAAGGGTATTTTTTTTGTAATTTTGGCAAATTTAAGGGTATTTTGGTAAATTTTGGCAACTTTGGGTGGTTTCGGGCAATTTGGGCATTTTAAAATGATTTGAAATGATTTTTGAACAAATTTGGGTATTTTGGATGAAATTGGGAATTTTGACCAAATTTAGGGTTTGGACCAAATTTAGGGTTTGGGGTGGATTTATGGGCAAAAGACCAAGTTGGATATTTTGGTAGAATTGGGGTGCCAACCACCATTGGTAAGTTGGATATTTTGGTAGAATTGGGGTGCCAACCACCATATATTAGCTATGAACTAATGAAATCCCCATTTGGGTCCTCTTCATGTTATGCAAATGATTTATAACATTATTAGAAGTTTTGTGTAGGGCTAGTGGGTGTTGGGAAACCATCTACATGAGTCTCTCAAAAGATCAAGGGATCAGAGTCAACAATTTTGGGTTTAGGGTTGCAAGTGAATATAGGTGACAGTGAGTGTAAGTGAGTGAACTAGCTCCAGACTAACACTCAGGGCTAGACCTAAGGTCAAGCAGTCCTATGGCGATTTTCCTTGAGATTTCCCATACTAACCTCACCTACTAAGTGCTAGAGGTTAAGACCAATATGTGGAACTTCAAGTTGAGCAGGGAAGAGTTTAGAGTTTATAAATGTGCGGGTTCCTTTTCTAGTTTTCTAGAAATAGTCATCAAGAATGTTTATATATATAAATAACTAGACCCTAGTGTCACCTCCCAAAAGAGCCCTTGTGGGTGGTGGGCAGCCCAGGACTTAAATACTGCTTTTCGGCCCTACACCTAGCCGATGTGGGACTATTTGTCCGTGACATTCTCCTCCACCCAATCACAAAAAAAATCAACAGCTCCTCAAAATGCCCCGATATTTGGTCAAAATTTGCAACTTCCAATTGAAAATTTTCAAATTTCAAACCTAAAGAACAAGTTTTAGAGCACTATGTCACCTCGGGTGGGAGCCCTTGTGGGTGGTGGGCAGCCCAGGACTTAAATACTGCTTTTCGGCCCTACACCTAGCCGATGTGGGACTATTTGTCCGTGACACTAGGCTACTAAAGAGAAAAACCTAAACCTCATCCAAAAGTAAGGTCGACATATCGACACGATCAGGTAAACGACAATTGATCGGTTGAAGCGATAGAGAGAGGCCATTGGACCGGCATGGACAACCGATTTATGAAGAATGTTTGATTGAGCTGGGGTGACCGATTGACCAAGCTCTATCAACTGGGCCAGGGTGGCCATTTGATAAAGAAGGTCAATTGTGTTGATCAGTAGTTGACAGCCGATAAGACAAGTTGATAGGGGAGTGATTGATCGAATTGCCGAGGGTGGCTGATCGATAAAGGACGGTTGATTGGGCTAGGGTGGCTAATCAATGAGGAGTAGTTGGTTGAGTCGATCGAGCCCTTGGCGGCGAATTGGGCAAGCCAATGAAAGTAGTCAATTGGGCCGACATAGGTGGTCGAATGATGAGGAAGGGTCGGTCAAACTGATAGGATCGGTGGTCATCGATCGATCGAGTTGGAGAAATTGGTCAATCGTACCAGCACGTACAGTTGGGCAGTTGATCAACAGAAAAGAATCGGTCAAACTGATTGGACCGCTGACAGTCGATCGGTCAAGCTGACAAAAAAGGTTGATCATACCGGCATGGGCGGGCGATCGGGGGTAAATGGTTCGTTTAAATGATTAGACTGCTAACAATCAATTGGTCGAGGAGACAAAGTGCTCGATCAGACCGGCGCGGGTGACCGATTGATGAAGACAAGACAGTCATAATGGTCAGACTTATAACAATTGATCGGTCATGTCGATGAAAAGGATTGATCGAACGAGTGTGGGTGGCATAATGGATTTTACATTGCAAGTTCTTTTTCTATTGTTAATTTTCTTTTGTTGTTGTTGTCTGAGTGTCGTGAAAGCTCTTATTTTTCAACCGAGTTGGTAGAAAACTCTTATCTTCTGATTATCTTAGTTTTTTCAACAGAGTAGTTTCACTCGTTTATTTTTACATACATATGACTCAATTCTTATGCATTTACATATCTTAAAACTTAAATTTCAAGTTTTTAGATATGTGCCACTTTTCCTATGCATGAAAAGATGTGCTTCACTATCATTGGATGTGATATTATATATATATATATATATATATATATATAATTCTGTTTTCTTTATTTCCTTTAAACCTAAATCCCTAAATCGCACGGCTTGCTCTCCTTCACGTTCGCATGGCCGGCCCGGAAAGATCTATTCCATGGAATAACGAACGGATATATCAGGAATAAGATGTTTCCTAATATAAGCACGCCCTTTTTTTAATCCGCTTTTATTATATTCTCAAACCAAACACGCCTTCGTTTAGTTACAGAGAACCATGGCCAGCACCAAACCCGCTAACTGGCACCTTCTTCCGGCCAATCTCCTAATCTCCATCGCAGAGAAGCTCTTCATCGCCGACATCATCCGTCTCCGAGTCGTCTGCAAAGAGTGGGGATGGTCCCTCGGATGGCCGCACAAAGGCTGGCCGACTCCACCTCGATTGCGTGCATCCTTCATTCCCATCCCCCCATCGGTTCCATGGATGCTCCTTCCAAACGAGGAAGGCGAGGATGCAGACTATTGTTCCTTTCTCGACCTCTCCAACGGACAAGTCCGGCGAATTCACCCCGTTCCGGAGATGGCGGGCCGCCGGTGTGTCGGGGCTTCCCCACACCTCGACCTCGAACTTAATCCCCGCGTGCTTAACCCTCTCACCCGAGAAGAGCTCCCTCTGCCTTCCCTCCTCTCCCTCTTCCCCTCTCCCACTAATGTTCGTGTTCTTCGTGATGCCTTTAATGGCTCCCTGACAGGTTTCTTTGACAAAGGAGCTAACTTTATGGGAATTTGGCATACGAAGGAGGAGTTTCGTGACCAATGCATCTTAAAGATAGTCCTGACTTCCGCCCCACCTTCCGGCTTTGTAGGGGTCATCTATGGTTGTAATCCGTTGAAAAGTTGTCTAGCTTTAGCGAGAGTAGGAGACGCATCATGGACCCCTGTTCCGATCTCCGACAATCACTTCTCAAAACTCGAGTCTGTAGAGGACATTTTTTATCAGAATGAAATGCATAAACTTTTTGTTGTGACTTTATCAGGTTCTGTGTTTTGTTGTGATCTCCATATTAACGATTGGTCGAGCGGAATCAAAATGTCTCTTGCTTCTCGCTCCTTGAAACTCAGAAGGTTCGCAAGTTGGAGTGATAGAAAACCACTCTCGGCCTGTATTGGCTTCAACAGACACATTATCTTCTCATCCGGTCGGCTGCTACAAATCTGTAGAAAAGTTGATGAGTATGATGAAAAGGAAGTTCAAAGGCAGAGGGAGGGGCTATTAGTGGATGAGGAGGACGAAGACGAGGAGTCTGATGCTTTCCCCGTCATGGCAGAGACAACCCGTGTTCAAATCACGATGAAACAGCGCGACGGCAGAACATCAGGGTGGATTCTGGCTAAAGCGAGTGATTTGGACGATCAAGCAATATTTGTTGGTTGCAATCATGTTTTCTCTGTTCCTGCTGCTGGTAGGTCTGGGCTGAGAAAAAACACAGTTTATTTCACGGAGACGTCGAGATACTTTTTAGATTGGAGGCAGCATGTGCGTGATGCTGCTGTCTTCGACGTGGAGACCGGGAATTTCCAAAGGTTTTTCTCTTTGGCTTCGCAGGTTAATTGGCCGCCTCCAGTATGGTTTATGCCCTCTCGGCTTCATTTTGATTTTCTTTCCTAATTAATTTTTAAAGTACAATGGTATTCGATGCAACTCGACTTTAGCTGATGGCTTGCTGGTTTTTCATTCATTTTTTTCTATTGTATACTTTTAAAATTTGAGTAAATTTTATATGTTGCCAACTTTTAAAATTTGAGTAATTTTTTGTATTGTTGAAAAAAAAATTCATGAGCTTGAATCCAAAATTGTCTAGGAGACACACGTGCTGAATATTGCTTTGTAGAAAGAGAAAGATATTGAGAGAGAACAATAATGAACAGTAGGAATGAGTGAGCTCAGACTGGACTCGTGTTCGGCTCGTTCGAAATTAGCTTGTGTTTGAAATATAGCTCGTGAACAGTGTGTTCGTGCTCGGCGTGAATAATATTTTTTTGTTCTTCGGCTCGAAATTGACTCGTTTGAATATAAAATTATTGTAATACTAATTATTTTAAAAAAATTAATTAATAATTTTATATAAAAAATTTTCAAGAGCAAAATAGTTCAAGACATTTTCTAAAAAAATTTACAAGAGCAAATTGAATATAAAATTTTACACAATACAAATATTAATATTATTTTCAAAAAAAATATAAAATAAGAATCATTTTATTACAAATTTAATAATTTACAAACTAAACAAGAGGACAAAAAATACAAATAAAATCTCAAATAAAAATCAAAATCTAAAAAACAATTTTATTGAACATTTCAATAAAATTTATATTTAATGCATATTCTTATGCTTTACATAAACCTAAAAAAATTAAAAAAAAAAAAAACATTAAATATAAACTACTTTAAATTAATTCTTCGATCTTTATGATTGACGAACCAATGTTGATGGGGGAGGTTTGAAAACGGAGGATCTGCAGACGAGAATTCTTTCGATGACCTGAAATGGAGCAGAGCGTTTTGCGGGCTCCTGTAAGAAGATTTTCCTGTAAGAAGGTTTCAGAAAGAGACATTAGAAATCAAATAAGATATTTACATATATATACAACTCAATTCCCATGTATTTACATATCTAACACTTAAACTCATCAATAAAGTCTTACCTTTGAAAATTCCTCTTCATGAACCTGTAATTTCTTATGAATGCAAAATTTAATTGAAATTACCTACAGCATTTTAAATTCAGGTGAAACAAAGATCCAACTGTAATCATCAGCTGCAGTGACTTGACCATCTATAGCCCATCTGAAACCTTACTGATTTTGTTGAATACATGGGACTCCCATCTTGAAACTACGTTCAATGAGCTACACATAGCTTGGTTCAATAAGAGCTTGTTTATGTTTGTTTGATTAAATTATCAAATAAGCTTGAATAGTTTTATGAATACTTCGTAGTTAAATGAACAAGCTTGAACATGACTTTATCTGGCTCGTTAATTTTCATGAATAGTATCATTAAAAGCACGCGAGCATGCTCATTTGACTCTCAGAGAGAAGCTCGTGAAGTGTTGGTTTATTTTCTATCCACCATATAGATTTTGAATATGTTTAACTTTTTTTTGTAATCAAATAGGGCATTAAAACCAACATACTAACTTAAAAGATAAAAATGTTACTTTATAATAAATTCAATCACTCAAACAAAATAATTTTGTTCAATATTTGATGAATCTATGCTTAAACCAAAAAATTTCCCCCTACTTAAACCCAAAAGATGGATAAATTTAAATTAGTATGGGTTATAAACTTCTTATTAGTGCAAACCCCTAAAGTTAATTACATCATGAGAGATAAATTTCTTAAGAAAACCCTTGATTAAGACCACAACTATGTCTTCAAGATTTTCAAAGTTTAGTTTTCATGATTCTTTATTTTTAGTTTCAAATAGGGAAATATCAATGTGAAAGAATTATTTTTGGAGTCTAAAGAAAAAAAAAATGGAAATGCTCTGACATTAAGGAACCCCTTAGCACTTCTAATTTGCTTTATTATTTTATCTTTGTTAAGATGGTTTAGTGATGGAAATTTAGTTGAATTTGGAGCTTAGAATAATGAGTTTGATGGATTTAAGAAGAAAATGTATATTTATAATTTTTTAAAATACAAATATACCAATCATTCCATTAAGTGATCAATTTATGTTGCAAACTTCATTTTAACTGATTATTATGGGTTCTCAAATAGTTCTAATGTCATGTAGAACAATCTTATTTACTTTTTATACTTTTTATTTTTAATTTTATTCATTATATATTTTCTATTTTTATTTATTGACTTTTTAATAGAAATTATAGTTTCCCATGTTTATTAGTTTTCTGACTTATGGAAAATTACAAATTGTTACCCTAGTCAAATCACTCCATTAACACTTATATGCATAGTAGAAAGAGATAAGATGATCTTATGTTATGGTAAACATTCTCTCTATCATAGGGATCTAGTCTTTCATAATTTTTAAGAGACTTGCACTCCTCCTGATTGTATTTTGTCTTAGCTGTTTGGTTGACATTCAAAACACCAGAAAATGAGACATAAAGTCATGAAATCTCCAATTAAGGAGTGTCTTAAAGAAGCTAATTATGTCATTACAAAGGCTGGGTCCAAGATGCCAACCCATCAACAGTCAGTTCAACCAATTTGGTTGGGTCCAAATTAATAAAACTCAAATAAGTACATCCTCGTAGAAAATCATACTTTGAACTGATGGTGTATTCTTTGAGTCGGGTTGGCATGCATATTATCCTCATTGAGTTATACACTTGCTTTTGAGAAAAAAGATAGGGTAAGACTATGTCATATTTTTTTATTCGATTCATGTCAACTAGGTAAAGGTTACCAAAACCCATTTCTTTCTCGGGATAGTTTACAAACAGTATCAGGCAGGCGGAACTCAAATCCTTGATTCAGCCTTAAGGCCGAGTCAGGAGCCAAATATACGATCAATGGGCATCCTCTTTCGACTAAACCTGATCTCTTAGAATACCCAGTGAGTCATATTTTCATTTATAGGATTCTCAGAAGAGAAATGTATCTCTCCATTAATTTTTTGGTTTCGCCAATTTTGGCTCGGTACGAATTACTAATCCTAATATTTGTTTTCGGTTAACATATCAATCGCATTAGGGAGATTCCCAGTTTAGCTAGGTTGGATCAAGGCCAACAAAACGTAAATTTAGTTTTCCCAGCATGAATCATGTGTCCACATTTGAATGCATGAGACTCTCTCTGGGTTAGCCTTTAAGGGGCTGGGTCTAAATTATCAAAAACCCAAGTATTATCCATAAGGAAAGTCACTCATTGGACTCATGGATGGGTTGCTTTTGCCATCCTGTCTTTTTTTAGTTTTTCTTGTAGACACGATTTTCTTTCTCTCGATACAATATCATATACTTTTTCATAAGAGGGAAAAGAAGAAAGGAATGTGCTCTTTTTTTCTAGGTTTGGTAGATTTTAGCAAGTCGTAAATTTTCATTTCCAATTGATATTTCAACTGTGTCGGGGAGATAGAGCCCAACATCCCCAATTAGCTTATAGAGGCTAGCGTCCGGGATGCCAAAAGGCAAATCTTCTTTCTAGGTTAGCAATATAACCAAAGTAAGGAGTTAGAACTAGAAACATTTTTCTATTTAGTTCTTTACTTCAATTTGAGGGTTAGAAATCATCACATTTTTCAATTAGTTCTCTAATCTAGTTTGAGAGTTAAAGCCCCGCATATTTTTTTATTATATCGCTAATCAAATTTGGGAGTTTAAGCACGACATAATTTCTAATTAGTTCTCGAATTGAGTTTGGGAGTTGAAGCCCGACACCTTTTTGTTATTAGTTTTCTAATCAAGTTTAGGAGTTAAATCCCGAGATTTTTCTCTCATTGGTTCTATAATCGCGTTTAGGAGTTAGAGTCAAACACATTTTTCAACTAGTTCTCGGATCGAGTTTAGGAGTGGAAGCCCGACACTTTTTTAAATTAGTTCTCTAATCATGTTTGAGAGTTAGAGCCAGACACTCCTTTCCTAATAGTTCTCTAATTGAGTTTAGAATTTAAGGCCCAACTTGCATGAAAATTCGTCGCTAGGATTCCACTTTGACATCTTTTAGTGTAAAAAGCATTTATTGCCCCTAATGGAGAAACCTGCACATATAAGATAATTTTCACATAAGAAAACCATGCAAGAATGCTAATTTTCACAATAGTAATAAGAAACATAAATGAAGGTTACTTTAATTTCTCGCACTTAATACTAAGTGAAAACAATTGAAGAAACCTACACATGAAGAAAACTCAGAGAAATCTTCACATAGAAGTCATTTCAATTTCATTTACTTAATGCATGGAAAGAATCACAAGGAGAAAATTACAGATAGAGAAAACATATAGAGAAATCTTAACAAGGAAGTCATTTTAAATTCATATATTTAACACAAAAAAGGTAATCACATGGTAAAAATACATGAAGAAAATACATAGAGAAATATAAGGAGAATCAATATAGAGAACTTTTACATGAAGAAAATACATAGATAAATACAAGAATAATTAATATAGAGAACTTTTCACATTGAAATCATTTCATTTTCATATACTTAACAAATGAAGTGAATCACATGGAGATAATGCATGAAGAAAATACTTGGAGAAAACATAGAGAAAGCTTCACTTGGAAAAAAAAAATACATGAAGAAAACATTATTAACTTGTAACAACTTGAGAAATGGACGATCCTTCGATGATTGAAAATTGGAGAAGAGGAAGAAGAGGGTTTTGATAAGGGGAGGGATGTGCGTGAGACAGTGAGAGATAGAGGAAGAGAGGTTAAAAGGGGGAAACTGCTGTTGAAACCATGAGAGAGTGGACGGGTGGTAGACTACTATGAGGGAGAAACCAAGCACGAGGGAGACAATGAGCAGAGATCTCCCTTTAATGATGAGAGAACGAGGAAAAATCTGAGGCGGGAAGCATTGGAGTTTCAAATTTTTTGCATTTAAGCTATTTAAAGAGCTTACTCGAATTTAAGTTCCAATAATAAAAAAAATCTCATTTTTTTCAAGCATTGTATATCATTTGTC